GCAGGTAGAGGATGACCCATGGTCATGGATCTATAACAGGGATGACCAGAGACCGTTCCAGACAACAACACATACAGAGTTTTCAACTGCACATGCACAGTTGAAAACTCGTAATTTTGACTTTTAAAGTCGAAATTTTGACTTTCTGTAGGCTTTTTTTTTTTTTTTTTACATGGCGGAAACGGGCTTCCATACATCCATCCATCCATCCATTTTCTACCCTTTAATCCATTTCTGGGTCAGGGGGGTGGCAGTCAGAGATGCCACCCAAGTCTCATAGCACCAGCCCCTCACTGACCCTCTGCAGGTGGTGAGTCCACAGGAGCTGAGATCTTCCAGCGGGGGCTTTGGGCAAAGTGGGGTTAAGTGTCTTGCCCAAGGACACAACAACAGCAGTCATCAGTGGGAGTCGGTGGAGAAGGTGTAGAGGTGGGAATTGAACCCACGACCTTCTGGCCTTAAGGCCAATGCTCTACCAACTGAGCTACTGTCGCCCTTCCATACATATCAAAATAAAACCAAATAAATAAACATAAAGTCTACACCATGACATCGGGATCCAGGAAAACATTTAATTCAACCTAACCATTTGCAAAAGGTGAACTTTTGTTCTCCCCATGTCTGCTGGGGTGTGCGCCAGGACTCCGGGTGAAAGAGTGTGTTTGTGAGTGCCACTGTGAGACGACGGAAATTATCCCCATGCAATGTCCCAACCAAATAATAAGCTAACGAGCTCCAATATGTATTTTTCAGACTCCAGGTCAATTCAACTCAATTCATTATTCATATAAAAAAATTTAGCCATGAATCACTACAGCGGTTAGCCTTCTCTAGGGTATACGAATGGGGAATTTCCCACTTTGCTGCTCCATATACTGTACAGTACAGTGTAGTGAGTGAAATGTTATAATTGTGTGTATATGTTTGAGTTGGGGGGACAATTTTGTGCCAAATTGTGAGAGAAGTTTCTAATATTAGCATGGATGGAGCTAAACACTAATCCAGGTATGTTTTTTAATAAGGAACAATAACTTCGTCGTAACAAATACTTTTTATATTGTACAATCTGAAATGGATCACACATTGTTCAGTGTACAGTCTCCAACATGTCAGGAGTAGCTCAGTATGACCTTTCCAGTGTGCCCTACTCTCAGTGGGAGCAGGTAGAATTTATATACAGGAGGTATTTATAGACGCGGTGTTCCCGAGGTTACCAAAGCAAAATGCCACTTCTCATTAAGGGCCCCGTTCTTCCAGGGGCCTCATTTAGCGGCTGAACGGTCCCGGCTGGGGAGGGGGTCCGGACGGGAGAGCGGGGGAACCCAGCGTGGAGCCTGGGTCACCTCTTACATCCACAATGCCCACGGAGAATTGTCATGGTGATGTGAATGCTGAATGTGTGTTAAGTTGGAAAGTCCGAAGAAATATTATTTTTTCTTCATGTTGGTCCTTAAAGCTGGGATACCTTCCTTTCATACCACAGCATTTAATCTATCTTATGTAATAAAATCAATTTAACTAGTTCCTGGCTCCAAAAATAGTTTGGTTCTTTCACTCGTGTATAAACATGCATGTATTTTTTGCCTCTGTCACTCAGATCCAATCGTTTAAATCTGCAAAAGGAGTTAACCCCTCCCACCTGTAGACTGAGCTCAATTGAGCAAATCCAGACCTAAGTATGAAATGAAATTAATACGATGTCTAGCCCTGTTCCAACCAGGATTCAAACCCAGGAACCTTTTGCCGAGAAGCAAGAATGCTAATAATTTCGCCACCATGCCACCTATCAGTGATCAGTCTCTGTCCTTGTATGAGCTGTCAGTTTTAGCAGACAGCTGAGTCCTAGATGTCCATGTGTGCCATACTCATCCAGATGATGGATTAAACACTGCTCTGTGGGATCTTGAAAAAAATCCAGCTGTAAGGGCACTTTTCCACAGCACTCTACAGTATATGCTGTGACTGTGTATTTACGAATGAGCATATTTTTCCACCACAGTGACAGATATACAAACTGTAAAATTATTCAAAAACAGCATATTTTGCAACATTGAACCTCTTCTTGACTTGGCTGTCTGTGTTTGCCCAGGACACTGGAGCTTGTTTGGAGCAGACTGGAGGACATGTCAGGGAGTAGCCCATTAGAAGCACCGCTGTCAGGGTGCCTCCTGATAGCCAGAGCAGAGACTTGTGCACGGGTGCAGGATATATGGGCTGGAAGCAGGATTTACAATGTAACTGCTCTTGTGAAATAAATTGGGTATTGAGATATATTAAATCTTCAAGAATCAGTTTGGGTTTTGGTTTTGAATTTGAATGTGGGAAAAGTTTTGTTTAAGGTAATACGGTTGACGTTGAAAGTTGTTGTACTAGTTTTTGATAATAGATATTGACATTTAAAAGCTCGAAGACCAAGAACGAGACAGTTCTTAGTCATTTGCAATAATTTTTGGATGGATGGATTTTATAATGTTTTCAGTCAGGCTACAAAGCCCTGCAGTGCAAAGAGTCAGCACTTTAAAAGGTTTTTAATGACCTTCTTTTAATGACAGATTGTGGAAATGTTGTCATTTTACTGCTTTTAGACCATACTGCAGCTTTTGATACATTGGACCTGTGGGACCCATGGTAATTAACATATGTATTAATAACGCTGTAATTACACCTGAACAGAATATAAACGCCCACCTCATATTTAATTTTCATGTTAATATGTATAAGTACAGGAATTTTGCATATTTTAGACAGGAGAAACTCAGGTGACCCGCGCAGGCAGGTTGAGGCAGTTTGGGGAGCTTGGGAGGTCCTAATTGAAAAGTGTGCATGGAATGAATGGTGATGTCGTTTCTCTTGTGCTGCAGTGCAAACGCCCGGAAAATCCTATATACTCTAAACTCCCATTTCTCCGACCACAAGTGCTACAGACCCTCTTTTTAACTGCACGAATTACTTCATTAAACTGGTTCTGTTTGAACCTGTCTGGGAGGTCCTGCACAATCAGTCAGGGGGATTCTGCCTCTTCTGCCGCCTCCTTACACTGTGGAGTTCCTCAGGCTTCAATTCTTGGCCCTCTTCTTTTTCAATTTGTTTTCTCCCGATGTGTTCCGAACCATCACAAACCATTCACTCTCTCATTAAATTGATTCCTATTGCACCTGTTTTAGTGTAGAAGAAACTGGGAAGAGCCTACAAGCTCCACACAAAAAGGCAGGGAGGTGTAATGGAACCAAATGTTGCTCAGTGTGTAATAAGTGGGAATGAGGTTCATGATTGTGATACACACCACCATTTGCCCTATGCACAACGCAATGTAATACGTTTAGAGCTAAAACATTTGAAGTCCAATGCATGTTATTGGATTGGATCTCCATGTGTGACTCAAATGCCATTAACAAGCCTTATTATGAAGTCTAAAATGTACCAGAGCCAGCAAGTGCCAGGTACAATCTTTATTAATTCTTCTGACAAAATAAGGCTCCTCAAACTTCATAACACACTCAGTTCACTTCTCAATGGAACGGCGCCATATTCTTAAATCCAACAAAAAAATTGCAGCCAAAAAAACTCTGTAAACTTGTACTTTGAGGACTTTGTGGGATGTAAAGCTGACATGTGTACACCAGTCACAGCTATGATGGGCTAGATCTACGAGGAATGCCAGCGATTTGACAAGAGCTGTCCCAGCGAGCGCTGATGGGACGGGGGTAAAATGTTGTGCAGAGCTCGGTCTTCGATCCCACCCACACACTCCACCCGTCACCCATCTACCATAAGAAAGCTGAAGAGATTATGTCAGAGTTTTAGCTGTGCGAGGCTGCGGGCCACTTTGGCTCATCACTGTCTCATAGTCCAATCCATATCATGTACAATGCATAAAGAAAGGCACACAGTTGTAAAGAACTTCATTCAACTGGAGAAGTTCAGCAATTATGGAGCCAATACCTTTGCTTTAAAACACAGACAACAGCTCCATGAAGTCATATTCTAGGATTTGATCATTGATTGTGTAGCAAATAGATAGTACTAACCCATGAGGTTCATGAAACCTTTTTGTGAAGTATTTTCCAAACTCACTTTGGCTCCGTTCACTTACATTGAAAAGTAAACGCCTCAAGCCATGTACGTTTTTGTGTCACTCTCACAATTTTTGTATCAGCAAGCCGTGGTTTAGTGCTCTATGTGATCCTTTTTATTTTCATGATGCCTTTTATAATTAGAAAAAATATGTCCCCTAGCAACTGAAAAATAATGTCTTTTGCCGCCAAATTTGGCTCCGGATTCCAGCCCATAGACCCTGACATTTGTAATGGGTGAGGAGGATTTGTGTTGTACATGTTCTCAAAACACCTTTATGATCAGTCTATATGCAGTCATAAGGCTGCACTTAAATACAATCAAATCAAAATAGCAAGTAACGTGGTCATAATTAGCACATCACAAAGACTGAAATTATTAAATATGGATGAAAGACAATTTATTAATCACTTATGAACATGAATAGATTTGATTTAGATTTTTTTGATTTGAGTATTTTTTATCTTTCACTTGTTGTCTTGCAGAATAGTTATTATCTCATTCCATTGAAACATCTAATATATAATTTATACACAACATCAACATGAGGTGTACAACTCTGGTCTGACTGTAAGAATGTTATGAGAAAATATAAAGAACCACTTAATGCATGCATTCATGAATACAGTATATATAATCTTTTATTTCCTTCATATACAACTATACTAAAGGTTTGAACTCAATAAACATACAAGAGATAAATAATTGCGTAGCAATCGAAAAATTGATCAGAAATACAAAACATTGACCTAACAAGATGGACAATGGACAAAACACCACCGAATGCTTCACATCTGATGGACTTTTGGCTTTGTCTCTAGATATTTTTCCGGAATCGTGCAGCCCTAGTCTTGTCCATTGCAATCCAAAACAACAAGCGGTTTCTCTGGATGCTGCCTCCACGGTCCCCCACATGCATGCACTCATCACAGGGGCTGTCTGGCTGTCGCCCTGGGGTGCTCTCCCGGCTCCCTGACTCTGCACACCGATCTGACAGCCGTAATCTCCTCCGTCAGACGCATCAAGCGCATCCCCCCTTCGCGCCGACAGCTTACGCGCATTCAGAAATTAGCAGAAACATTAACCTTTCCCGTGATCGCGACGCGTTCCGAGGGAGGCAAATTAACTTCCATTTGTTAATGTCAAATTTCAAAATGGCCCCCAAGAAAATTGTGGAGCGATGGAGTGGATGTTTGCAGATGACGAGATACTGTTTTTGACGGAATGTGGCGCGGCAGGTGCAAAGGGTAATTGCGTGCGAAAGGTTGTATCGCTTTGGATGAAATATCGTTTGTAAAGATGTAGCCTCTGTGTGACGCTTTGAATATTATCAGAGGATTGTATATGTGCAGATAAGGTGTTGTTTACCTAATTATGCAGAGAGCAGATGAGGGTTTTAATGACGTTTCAAGTTTCATTTCCTGGATTTGAAACACTGAATTTAATCTATCTGAAAAAACCATCGATCATTGAATTATTTAGGAGAGAAATGTCTTAAAGGGCTTGTACTGTACGTCTTCTTACAGCAGTACACCTGCATTTTTTACTTTGTTTTTACATTTTCAAAGAGAACCCAACTCCACTGATCGCTAACTGCATCTGCCGTTTGTGATGTGAGCACATTGCCAAAATGAATAACATTAATTACGTACAATAATAGCAATATCTAACAATATATTTTACAGTATATCTTTGCTCAGTGTGATATCGGTCTAAACCTTGTGCTTAGTTTAAAACCTGCTGAACAATATCAAACTCTGATGCTCAGACAGAATTTATAAGATAAGAAGTGCTTTTCACAACTCTCATAGAATATAAATATTAAGTCATCAACAAACGTTAGCTAGGACTCAGACTCAACTATATTTTTGAGCACGTGAGAATGACCGAAGTGAGGCCGTCCCTGATGGTACTCCCCGTGAGGACCTCCACTCACTCGAGCCAGAGTCAAACTGATAATGTAGATGAAGTGACTTGCTTAAAGCTTGCTTACAGCCTGCAGTGGTCTCCCATTGCAGCCCCGACCTGCTTAGCTGTAGGAATCTGATTGACTTCCAACATTGTTAGACTATATTTCACAATGTTAAAGCCAGAACTCTTACAAATCTATTTCTAAAACATTTCTAAACATTCAAACTTGATTGCATCCCTATCCTATTGCTTTTTAATATTCTAATGACATCCTGTATTTATTAGAATATTTCCTGAATGGCGTGCAGATGTTTGAGAGTAGAAAGTGTGGCGTAGAAGTCGTCTCGATGATGAAACCCAGGGTATGGCACCGTGCGCAAAACAAAAGCTTCGCTCCTATGGCCACTAACGCTAACTCACAGCCATCAAACACTCAAGTCCACGCGCATTGGCACCCAACAGCTTGTCTGCGCAAACCGTCGAACTAATATTTGTGGCTATTACCCTAATTAGAATCACGCCCAGATGGTATTCCTTCACAAAGTCGTGCGCCTGCCAACATTCGTGATGGTCCGAGAATTTGAAAGTATCCTTCAATCAACACCATTTATTCTGGTCAGAACTTCTTTCTTCCTGGAGATGTTAAGCAGCCTGCGCGTGGTGGTTTGATGAAACAATGGCAGAACATATGGTGCGTTTAAGTACAGTTGGACAGCTGCGGAGAGAGGAGAGTGTGCCTGGATGTGGGCCAGCTCCCAGAAGAACAGGCGAAATCTGGTGGTACAAACTGGGAATGCAATGGTGACTCAAAATAAAACAGAGTCCCAAGATGCAAGCAAGACACTGGAATTTCATAAGGGTTTTTTACCTTTAAAAACATCGGGAAGTCTCTAATCAGCACCAGCACATCACTCCCTTCCCCACCACTTTTGTCTCAACGCTCTTGTTAAACTTTGCACGCATGGACAGAACCATCTTTAATATATAAGTGTTGCTTCCAAATTAGTTGTTGGATATTCTCCAGTCAAATATATAGATCGATAGATAATTTATTGATCCCTGTAGGAGAAACTCAGGTATCCAACAGCAGAAACACACCCATCCATATACAAATATATACATAAATCTAAAACAATAGTAATAAAGAGCAAATGAGAATGTGCCTTCAATTATTCTTTCATTCATTCATTCATTCATTTTACACCCCTTTTCTTAGTCCATTTCTAGGTGTGGGGGGTGGGGGGTGGCAATTAGAGCTGTCGCCCAATGCTCAAAGCAGCATTTCCTCCATGATCCTCCTGCAGGGGGTGGGTCCACAGGAAGAATCGATTAGTTGGCCGATTAATTTTTGTTTTGGACTCGATCTCTTTTGGATTTTTTTTTTTTATTTCTTTACATTTGAGCAAAAGTGTTGCCTTTGGAGAACCTACATACAAACAGAAGACTTGGGCTGATTCTTTTTAAACATATGTATTTCCATTGCATTCTGCTGTCCGTCTAGAATTGTCTAAACCATAAAATCTAGTGGTATTCTCAACATGTTTAAGTCTATGTAAGGTTCAAACAATGCTTATTCCAGTACTAATCTAGTTGAAAATGTATTTACTTGCTGCATCCCTAAAACAATATGATCTATGCCGGAACTTCTAATCCACAGATGAGCTAAGGAGCCTACAACTTTTTACTCATTTAAAGTTCTTTGGTGCTTCTATACCAAACAATTGTAAGATATAGCAACCTTGCATGGGGGTATTTATTCTTAAGGATATCTCGTTGAGATAAACCATCTCTTTAACAAGGGGATTCGAATAACATTGCTATCTTACAATTGTCTGCTATAGAAGAACCAAATAACTGAATCTACCAAGAAGACGAGATGAGCCTACCTGACTCATCTGTCACTCACACTGTGCCGTCTCCCGTCCCGCCTTGAGGTGGTAGCACTCCAGACAACATGGCATTGTTCGCCACATACCAGCGACCTACCTGAAAGATCTAACGGCTCGTCCAAGAGGAAACACGATCCGCTTTGTTCTGGAGAATGTGGCGAACCGCGCTCTGGCTCTGCGGTGTCCCGGCGAGGTGACAAGTTTCCAATAACTTCGTTTTGGCCCCAAGCAAAGATTAAAATGTTCAGCGCTGCAGTCTTGTGTTACACGTGTGGAGAGTGCCAAAGGGAGGGCTCACATCGTCTTTGTCATTCTGGAATCATCCGGCCACATAATGGAGGTTTTCAAGTGTGGCTGCGAATCAAATAATGACATTGTGTATTATTGTGTGCAGTTTTGGGGTGAGGCTGGGTTCAGACATGTCGTGGGTAATTTAATGATCTAAATTATTATAGTTAAGTCATCATCAGCTTGACAACAAAATAATACTGTATTTCAAAATAGTTAGGTCAGGTCACCCAATGTCTCTACATTTTAATACAAATGTTTTCTTTCTGTTTGAGTACATATTCTGAGAGGGAAATATATATATGCGATATATGTTGTACAATCTTGAACGACACACACATCAGTGGAGAAGTGTTTTAAGGACACAGCAACAGTTTGAGCCTCACCATTGCTTTGTGGCACCTGGTACAAACCCCCTCACATGAACTTGATTGGATCAGACTTTGAGGCATGAAGTGATGGATTACACACACTTTATACTTATGATATTGTGTCACGAGATCTGAGGATTATGGACATAGTAATCCAACACCTCTAATTGTTCAGAGTTAATATATAGTGTTTGTCCCAACAGAAACTTGTAGAAGAAAAATGTGCACAAATCAGAACACAATATACTACTTCCATGTTATCAGTAATTATGTTATTGATTGTAATAATCCATCAGTTTTATATAGCGCCCTTCAGGACACTCCTAGACGCTCCACATGTCATTATTCATGCACTCCATACATAGTGGTGATAAACTACTACTCTAGCCAGCTACCCTGGGGCACACTGACAGAAGTAAGGTAACTAGTAGTGTATGTGCCATCGTCCACAAACACCACAGTCTCACAACGACAGTTTAGCACATTACAGCCGCAGCCGCCTCATTGTGGCACCTGTTGTCCCCAGAGGTCTCCCATCCCAGTTCTAACCCAGTTCTAACCATGTCCTGTCTTTCACATGCAGGTAAAGCCACATATGTTATCAGTTGCCCAAAAATCACCAATGAACGCTCTTTTTCACCTATCTGTCTAAAAACGCTTATCTAAAGATACACAAAGAGGAACATGCAAACTAGTGATAGGATTGTGGTTAGAAAGTCAGGTTTACCTCAGCTTCAAACCGTCTATTCACATTGAAACAAACAAATTCCCCAATGGACCAAACACAAATCGCTACAAAACTCTATCAACACATTCCCAACACCACCGACTTCTTTCCCAACCCAATTTCCCCAGCTCCTTTTCCCCCGATCGGGCTGGTGCGCTCCGGGGCTGAGATGATAACAAGTGAGGCTGCGGGCCGGATGATGGATGGTGCCCGGCTGGGGGCTGTCAGGAGCGGGTGAGGGCCATATGGAGCCAGCATATGGGGCGCGTAGTGTGCGGAGCGGCCCAGAGGAAGCCCGTGACAGAGATATACGTTAAGAGAAAGGCTCCTTAAAAACGCAGGCTTCATCAGTCTGGAGCACGCGGACTTGTCAGTTCTGCTACCGCGGGCAGACAAGTACGCTCTCGGGCAGATGTAAGAGATTCTGTCGCACAAGCTATTTTGGTCGTGTTTTGGGAGATCTGTGTAAAAATGCTATTTTATTAGTGGATAAGTTATGTCGGCTATTGTAGGGGCTTGGTGATCAGGCGTGAGGTCTATGTTCTTCTGGAGGGTCCCAACAACAAGCAAAAAGATAAGATAAGTTAAGCTGAACCTTTCTACAGTACGTCCCTCAATAGGGAAATTTCAACGTAATCGCACATAAAACAGAATCTATAGGTGAGAAATGATCATTGTCACTTTTCTGTCTCAAAAAGATGATCTCTAAGATGTGAGGCTTAAGATACACTCATGTGAAAACCAGTGATGGAGCCAAATTCTTTTGAGTGAGGTACATGGATGTTGCTTCATAGTTTCATGTTGTGGTTTCAAAGTTAGGCCCCTCAGCTTTAAATGAAAATAATATGTGCGGTCGAATTAGCTTAATTAATTTGATCACCCACCATAATGTCTCCACAGTGTTGTTTCACCTCCCACCTATCTCGGTATATTTATCTGTACATATGGTAGAAAATCTGAAAAACTAAATAATTTTGACATGCCATTTTTTTTCAACATAAAAGGAGTACATCACTTTTTATCACTTCAGTATTGGTATGGAATCATTAAGTATTATAAGTATAACATGGCCACAAGCCACTTATTATCTCTAGCTATGGACAAGAGCTCTAATGTTGTAAGATTATAATTCCATCCCTATGCTTTTGGCCATTTGGAATTGATCTATGCTCAAAAATATCACATTTCCACATTTTAACCTCGGAGGTAGTTTGTTGCAGTCTGTGTGTGTGTGTGTGTGTGTGTGTGCTAGTATGTATGTGTGTCTGTCTGTCTGTGTGTGTGTGTGTGCATTTGTGTGTGTGTGTGTGTGTGTGTGTTTGCATGTAATCTGTGAATATGTGTGTGTGTGTGTGTGTGTGTATATGCGTGTGTGCGTGTGCATGTGTGTGTGTTTGGCCCCTGGAGGACCCCTTGTTTGATTGTTTAAAGCCCTCCTTAATTGGCGCTTTGTCTATGGGTCCTTGGATGCGGCGGGACACCCTCAGTGGGACGTTTTCAATAGGGGGGGTGGGGGAAGAGCATACTGGGGGGGGTTTGACAGGCTCCCACCAAGGGCCCGGTCCCCCTGCTCTGTCCGACGGGCATCTCTGACAGCAGCAGCAGCACTGGGCCAATTAACCCGCACAGTGAGGAGTGAGTGGGAGAGTCCGCAGTTTAGTAACACATTCCATTTGAAAGGGTAAAGGATCAAACCTGTGTTAAAGAGTACATTTTCTTTCTTTCAAGTTTGTGCTATTCATCAACGTTACCGTCACTTGTCCCTCAAATCAGACTTACAGCTAATGTAGGAGCACTAATAACACAAATCATTTATTTTATTTTATTTATCTTTTTTTCCCCCTAGTTTTTTATTTCTAGGCCTTTATCAAATGGTTGAGATGCTGCTTGATGTTAAAAGTCCCCTAACATCAGGTGCCACAGTGACACAGGTGTAAAGTGCCAAACTGTTCAGCCGGATTACCGGATGAGTCTTGTGTGAGTGAATGGTTGCTGGTTGTTTGGAAAGTTTGGAAGATAGTCTGGGTATAAGGAAAGGTAGTTATTATTAAATAATTGGTGAGTCCTCCTGTGGACTCACCACCTGCAGGAGGATCAGTGAGGGGATGGTGCTCTGTGTACTGGGTGCACCCGAAACCGGATGGATGGATGGAATTTGTGATTATTATTAAATAATTTGTGACTTTGTGATTTGCTTATTGCCTTCACAAAATGTTTTGATTTGGTTTGAATTGTGATTGGTTTGTTCACGTGGAATGTGCGTCACCACACTCGAGTCCTGACTATAGAACCAGGAAGTACCGTCACATTAGTCCTGGTCTCAGGTCTCAGCAATGGCTTCCTGTGGCTCAGAGAATAGACTTGCCATATGAACCAACTCGGACTGTGAGGAGCACAGGGACTGGCCTTCTGCTGGTGCCAGAGTCAGGATTAAACATGGGGAGGCAGTGTTTCAGATTTATGCAGCTATAATCAGGAACAGTGTTTCTGAAAATGTGAGACAGGCCTCCTCTCTGACATTGTTCAAATCCAGGTTTAAAACATGTCTGTTTAGTTGTGCACACAACTGAAGGATTATAATCTTAACTCTAATTTAATGTGATTGTTTATCATTTTGTTTTTTTTCTATCTTGTTTTTTTAGCTGAGTTGCCTTGTGTATGAACTGTTCCATACGAATAAACTTGCAGTGCCTTGCCTTGCCGCACATGTCATAACAAACACCACAATCCTCCACCTTTGAAACTCTACTCTCTGAAACCGACATCACCCGCATCTCCCACGGCGACACTGACAATTTCAGCGTTAATTACACCCGATTGGTTAAAAAAGGCGAGATAACGAGGCCGCATCCTTCCAAACCCTTTCAATAATTCATGTAGGAAGTCAGGCATCCGCAAACTTGGATCGTCTGTCCGGGGCGAGTGTGCGTGTGCGGCGATACAAGACTCATGCATAAATATGGAGTGGTGGGGGTCTAGAGTTACCCATGGAAGGAGCGTGTGTGGGGCATGGATAGGATGTCCAGAAGCCAGACGGGCCGCAGAGACTGTGGTCAAAGCTCACCTCTGCTGTTGTGTCAAGGTGGAAGAGAAATGGGGGCGTGGCTTCAAACTGGCCAATGGTGAAGATGCCAGAACTTGTAGAACTCGTCACAGTCTCACCGATATGTAGAGATTAAAACCTACAGTATATTTTAAACCGTAAACAATGCAACAATGTAATAAAATCTACCCTGGCTTTGAAAAATATTTTGGTTCTTTCACTATATTTCACAATGGCCACTGTCATATCTGTAGATCAACTTGTTCAGACATAAAGAGAGAACCACCCTCATTCAGCCAATCAGCTCTCAACCCAAAGCGTCAAATAGTGACTCACAAGGTAATTTCTTGTTTTCTGAGATAAAATAAACTTTAAATTCCTAATATGAAAAAGTCAGCAAGTTGTGGGTCTGAATTGTTTGTAACATTTAACCTTCTGTTGGGACAAAAAACATGTAATAATAATCAACTAAACAAGTGAGGCACCCAGCTTTAAAAGGTTTGTATGTACGTTTTGTGGAGGACGTTTCATCACCTGCATGTTCAAGGTATAAACTTGTCATCGATTATATCTGTGTAAAATAATCTTATAACAATATTTACTTATTGACCTTACTTAACTTACTTACCTACTAGTCTCAGTGTCAAAATCCCTCTGGGGACAGGGCTGTAAACATTCTCTCCCTTGACATGATTTTGAGACTTTGGCATTTGGTGTTTTTGAATGGTAAATAAATGCATTCTGTGTTTGGATGTGGTCAGAAGCTTTGAGTAACTACCCAAAAGATAAGCGGCCAGGATCTCACTCACGAGGACAACGGCTGAATCCAAGCAGGTCAAATTAGCAGCATTATCTCTATAAGTGGCGATGGCAAAGAGCGAGAAGTTAGTCACTATATTTTGGATATTTCAGATCCAGCTTGAGTCTTTCAGCTGGTATGAGAACAACTTTGTGACACTGCCCTCGATAAAGTGGGAAAAATCTGATGGAAATATACAATATGTTCTCCATATGGGTGACAGTGGCTCAGTTGGCAGAGCCTTTGAGCCCGAAGGTGATGGGTTCGAGCCCACTGCGAGACCTTCTCCACCAAAATCACTGATGTCTGCTGTCGTTGTGTTGGGCAAAACACTCAACCCACTTTGCCTATAAGGAGCGCAGAGTTAATGTTTTGCTGGTTGCCTTTATGTGTACAGTAAATGTGTATATGTATATGAATATGTGTATGTATATGTGTATGTGTATGTGTATGCAGTCAAACTGAAATTTCTCCATTGTGGGACGAATAAAGGACCTTCTCTCTCGTCTTAAGAAATGATATGAACGTAAGATTTGTTTTTGTTTTGATAGTGTATTTTCCACAGAGCTCAGTCATATATTTCTTTGTAACTTTTTGACCATAAGTTGTGTGTGTAATGCCAAAAAGAAAAAAAAAAGTGATGTTTTACCACAGATAGCGTAACACTATATACTGTTTTTCTGCTTCTAAAAGCATTAAACAGACATCATGAGCTCGCAGGCTTTTGCACATCAGTCACGGCTCTCCCCTGGGTGCTGTGTAAAACTGTACACTGTAAGCACTTTCTCTTCACATACTAACGGCTAAAATCATATTAAAAAGAGCTTTGTGGATGATTTTCCCTTCTGCTGTCATATCCTCCATGACGGGCCCAGACCTGCAGCTCAGCCCGCCCCAGTGCGGAGCTCAAGGCCTGGGGAGACGGACGGGTCAAACATGGTGGGTCCTTTTGTTCGTGCATGCTTACGTCAGGCCATGCTGAGAGCGGGAGATTTTTTATAGTCAAGCGATCTGTCCACTGTAAGATCATAAAAGGATCTATATGCAGAGTTCAGCCTCTGTTTAATGTAAGACTGTTGGGCGTTTTATGTGTATCTTCATGGTTTATTGAAATTGCTGCCAATAAAACAACAACTGGTCCAAATATGGGAGAGTGGACTGACGGATAGAACTGTTTATAAATGCAGATAATAGGTAAGAATTATAATCATAATGTTTTTATTGTCTGTAACAAAAAACCTCTAAGAATTTGGTTTTGCATTATGCTTTTCAAGTTACAACAAAAAACAGGAACTGGAGCTGTTTTTAGAGCCATCCACGCTATCATCAGGAACACCCTCCCTTCTCAAAGCTCTTGTCTCATACTGCTTGTTCATGCAATCTCGGACCGTCTGAGATTCAGGGTTCATTCCCACT